TTGAGCCATCCCGTGTGGGAAGGAGGCACTGGGATTAGATGGAGTCCTGTAAAAAAGCGGAAGTCCACTTGCCCTTTCGGGCAGTAACAGGAAACAAGGAAGGTCCCAAAAATTGCTGTCGCGGTGGGGTCCGTTTCCTCTCTCCCGTTCCCGTAGGCGATGATTTGTTTTTTGTTTTTGCTTTTTCAAAAAAATTGGACCATTTCTCCATTGATGCGTTTCGTCCTGGCTACGATTGGTGGGGGCCATCCTAGTCCCGTAGGCGACGATTTGTGCTTTCCAACATTTCAAGACTTTTCCAAAGCGCTTTTCTGTGGGGTCTGTTCCTCATTCTCATTTTGAACATTTGGAGAGTAATGGAGCGAGGTCCAGTCACTCAAAAGTTGCAAAGAGAAAGAACATCAGGGGGAAAACCATCGGACTTGAATTTAACGAGGCACCCTTTTTTTTTCTTTTTTAAATGATGAATTGAAACAGCCCAGGAGGAAGGTTGAGGTGCTAATCGGAAGCCTCTAGCTGCTCCAGGGAGGCTCCGTCTATTGGCGGGGAGCTGCCACCGCTGGGAAATGGGCCCAGCGTCCCATTTATACAGATTTAGAGAATTCATATACAGAAGACAACTGAAGTATGTGGGGGACATACCGTCACAGGACGCCGGAACTCAATCTCCCGTATGATGCCCTCTCCACCTCTATGTTTCCCTGCACCTCCACTGTTCTCCCGAAGCCCAAACTGGTGGAGCAAAACCTGTGGAATGTATGGACGGCAAGTGTCGTTAACAATTTCACAAATAACAACAATTTCACAAATAACAAGGTCCATAAAATGTACAAGTGTGTCTGATATGGTTAGGGGGCTCCTGGCAAGCATGATGGGGCTAAGTACACAACATACTCTTGCACACACATGAAAGGGCACAGTTGCTTTTCGTTTTAATGAGAGTTCATTGTGGAATGTTATGCGTGGAGTCCGTGGACCTTCTTTTTTTTTTTTTTTTTTTCATTGGAGGCTGGGTTACCAGCCGGGCCACCCGGGTCACCATGTTTGACCGGGCAGCCCAGCCATGCAAGGACCACGGAAGGGGCCAACCAAAAAAATAACAAAAAAAAAAAAAAAGATTTAAAAATCCGAAAAAAAACTATGTGATGCAGAAAAATAAACTGAGCAACTTTTGCCACAGGGTCACATCGAAATTCTTTACCAAAAAATATAAAAATAATAATAAAACATATGTTTATTTTTTAAATATTTTTGGCCCGGCCCGGGAAGTTGCCCCGGTCTCTCTCTCTCTCTCTCTCTCTCTCTCTCTCTCTCTCTCTCTCTCTCTCTCTCTCTCTCTCTCTCTCGTTTCCAGTCCAGGGCCAATATAGAAAACTCCAAAACCAGCACGAATCTTCCTGGGATCTACGGGAAGATTCATCTTCGTTTTGCAGCTTACCAATTTCGTGCGGGGTTGGAACGCGCACGCGCGCGCACACGAGAGAGAGAGAGAGAGACAGAGAGAGAGAGAGAGAGAGACGTGCAAAAGTGATCTTCGTTTTGCAGCTTACCAATTTCGCGCGGGGTTGGAACGTGCAAGCGCGCGCGCACACGAGAGAGAGAGAGAGAGAGAGAGAGAGAGAGAGAGAGAGAGAGAGAGAGAGAGAGAGAGAGAGAGCCGCGCAAAAGTGGAAAGCTGCAAAACGAAGATGAATCTTCCCGCAGATCCCAGGAAGATTCGTGCTGGTTTTGGAGTTTTCCATATTTGCGCCGAACTGGAAACTAACGAGAGAGAGAGGGACATGGCGAGTTTGGCGCTGAGGCGCGGTGAACTCGCCGTGTCTCTCTCTCTCTCAAACTCGCCATGTCCCTCTCTCTCTCTCTCTCTCTAGCGTTGCTCCCTCGCTCGTTTGTTTCGAAGCCAGTGCGAACTTGGAACGCTGCAAAATTAGCATGAATCTTCCCACAGACCCCGGGAAGATTCATTCCACACATCTCTCTCTCTCTCTCTCTCTCTCTCTCTCTCTCTCTCTCTCTCTCTCTCCCCCCCCTGCACAGAAAGAAAAGCACAACCGTTTTTTTTCCTTCTTGGTTTTACTTTTCCTTTTTTTCATTTTTCTTTCATTTTCTTTTTTTCATTCTTCATTTCCAGAATTCGAATGTCTTTTTTTTTTGTTTTTTTTCCTCCGTTTTTTACTCCTCTTTCAGCAACACGTCCGGGAAGTGAACACCCGGTAGGCCCAGCCTCGGCATGGATCGGCATACCGGTCGGCCGTGGCTCGGACTCGATAGCTGGGAGAAGTATAGGTGGTTTAACATCTGATCCATGGTCCATCCGACCACGCGATATTAAATTATTTTTCCGGCTCACGGAGGGGTGATACGGGTAAGCTTGCTTACTCTAACCCTCTAGTGTTGCCTCTGTATTGCACTGCAGCAGAGTGTGGCGTAGCCCTTTCACAAAAAAACAAACAAACAAACGAGAAAAACTTGCCCCGACCAGTCTGGTAGCCTAGCATTGGAGGTGATAAAGTGCACACGCATGAAAACAAGACACTCTATGTTTTTTTAACCCCTTTTTTGAGGGCAGTTCGTTCATGTCGCATCAGAGTTTCATAGGGGGCAAAAAAAAAAACATGCATCTGCAAAGAAACCAGGCGCGTGTTTGGAAAGAGCAATAAAAGTACAGCGGCCATGGTGTCATATTTGCAGGGGTCGGCCATGGTGTAAGATGGGCAAAGGAAAAAAAAACAAAAAAAGCCCAAGGGATTCTTCTCGTCCGAAATTGCCATTTCAAAGTCAGCGCCCAATTTCTTTGCAGGCCGGTGTTCTTTTTGCCTTTACAAACCCAAAACCTGCCATGCCCGCCGTTGTTTCTTCTTTTTTCCTTTTTTTTTAAAACACCCCGGCGGACTGCTAGGAGGGTTGGTATAAGCGCCCCTCCCTTGCAGCGCCCCACCAGCGGTTGCTCCAATCTATTGGTGGAGAGCGTCACCTGCTGGAAACCGGGTCCAGCATCCCATAGATATACATGCACGTTTACTACCCGGGCCATTACCCGGCTTCGGCTCCAGAAGACAACAGACACTGTATGCTTTAGCAAGACGAACTTTGCAAAATCAAACTCGTGGTAGCGGAGGTCGTACACCATTGCCCACCAGTCTCCGCTCCAGTGTGCATGTGGCCTCATCAGGGAGCTAACACCAGCAAACGTGTGGCATTTTTACTCAAATATTCTACGAAGCTAGGCTACCAGCCGGCCTGCCCAAGTCACCTTGTTTTCCTGGGCTGCCCGGTCACGCAAAGGACCAAGGAAGGTCCCAGAAAAAAAAAGACAAATAAGCAAAAAAATAAGAAAAGACTCTGTTGTGCAGAAAAATAAACTGAACAACTTTTTTTCTTTTTTTTTTCTTTTTTTTTTGCCTCAGGGTCACATCGAAATTCTTTACCAATATATCGTCACAAACAGAACTGCCCGGTAAAACCGTAGGCAGAGAGAGAGAAGAGGACAACAAACGAGG